TATTTCAATAATAATATTCTACACTATCAAGTAAAGGTAAATTAAAAATAAAAGGAAATACTTCAATAATAATATTCTACATCATCAATACTAAAGACATATTTTAAACAATAGTAAAGGTAAATTAAAAATGTAGCGAAAATTAAAATGAAATGGAAATATTTAAATAATAATATTCTAAATCATCAATTAAAAATGAAACGAAAATTTGATAAAATATCATTGCATTTGATATTTTAGTTCGCTAATTGATTAATTGACTAAAAATAAAAGAGAAGTAATTGGGATGAAAATAAATATGATATTACTAATGGATTGAAAATTTAAAAGGAAATGAATATTAATAATTGACTGGCAAATAAAAAATTATTCATAATTGACTAATATGAAAAAATAAATGGTTTAGACCATTGCATTTTAATTAAAATGGAAGGGAAACTAAAATTGAACGCCAATATTTCAATAATAATATATACATCATAAATAGTAAATGCATATTTTAAACAATAGTAAAGGTAAATTACAAATGGAACAGAAATATTTCAATAATAATATTATACATCCCCAATTAAAATGGAACACAAATTAGGTAAAATATCACTCCATGTAATATTCTAATTGACTAAAAATATAAAAGAATAATTGACTGAAAATGAATATGATATTACTAATTTATTTAAAATATAAAAGGATCGCTAATTGACTAATATTATACCATTATATATTTTTCACTGAGTCACCCATCCTGATCAATTTGAAGGTGTTTAGCTCTAGACGATGATGGACAAGATTGTGTTGCTACTACCAATGTCGTCTACAAAGAGGTTTCAACAATGTGTAAATAAAATCGTTGATATTATATTTTTTAAATGACAAAATTGCTATATGTATAGACAAAAAAAATATCCTCCATACAATGAATTAAGATAACAATTCATTCATATAACTGAGTTGCTAGAAAACGAACACATTTGTATAATTTATAAAAAAAAATACTAAACAATGATAAAAAAAAAATCTCCAAAGTTATAACACTACATGCATACATCTACACATTAGCTATTAATTTGAGCAATTATTTGCTTAAATTCCATACAATGATAATATAAAAACACATAAATGATCCAACCCGTATATTCAATTGAACTATATAATATTTGATGTTCTAATTTAAATAATTATATATCGATCCAAATATTCTTAATATATTACAACAAATCTATTCTGTGCATCGCACGGGCGCAAAAACTAGTATAATAATAAAAAAACACTTCACAAATGCAATGTATCGATTTCAAAATGATTTACTAATCGAGTTTAATATTGGACACAAGTTTTCGCGGAAATCACGTAAAAAAGAGTACAAGAGGAGAGTTTAATTACACAGTAAAGTATAACTTATAACTACTCAGAGCCTACTCCAGTGGATCCGATGTGCAGGCGATATTCATTGCTTCATAATCTGATTACGGGCCTTTCTTCACACTCAACAGTACAGTATATATTTGGTATAGATAAACCAAGAATTTCAGAGTAAAACCATGTGAAAGAGTGTATGAAAATGCTAACCAAAGTAGCATTTTATAGAGGTACAAAAGGGTCCTTTGATCCACAAATCAAGCACTCTTTCCATCCTTGATTTTGGCTGCTTCAATAGATTTAGATTCCTCCTTTGATAGGGTCTTGACTGGAATAAAGGATTTGAAGAAGCTTCATACCTCCTGGATTACTTTCTTGTGCTGATCTAGTTAACTACTCCAAACGTTATGACTAATCCAGCGACTAATTCAGAACTACTTTGACAACTAATCTAAGCCATATTAAGAGGTTTAAACCGTGAAACATTTTTACACTTACAATCTCCCCCTTTGGCTATTAGTTGACAAAACTACCAAAAGGATCTCACCGCTTTAAAAAACAAAACCAATTGCCAGATGAGTAAAAAGTTACAATTTTGACAAGCAGATTAGTCACTAGTCATGAGTAGCTAGACACACACCCTTCTTAGACTTAACCAATGATGTGCCAGAGAATTCAAACACATTAAGAGCATACAAGCACATAGAGAAATAAAGCATAAAGCACATATATTTCGCATAGGGTAACACTTAGCATTTATCACAAAGTCAAAGCAAAACACAAAAAAAAAAAACTTAACAAGTAACTACACATTACTAGAAGCAAATAGCAGATGTTATCCTCTCTGTGTGACCATGTATCCTAGGAATTTTCCCTCACAGACAGCGAATGCGCATTTCTTTGGATTTAATCTCAGTTTGTATCTTTCCGTGAGTTGGAAACATGCTCTAAGGTCTCGAGAGTGCTCGAGGGCCTCTTTGCTTTTTATCAACAGGTCGTCGACATAGGCCTCCATTCTTTTCCCAAGCAAATGTGAAATATTTTGGAGACCATCCTTGTAAATGTTGCTCCCGCATTTTTCAGGCCGAACGACATCACCTTATAGCAATAATAGACTCCGTCAGGTGTCAGGAATGCCGTTTTTCTTCGTCATGTTCTTCCATAAAAATTTGGTGGTAGCCCCGAAAGGCGTCCATGAAGCTAAGTGGTGCGCAACCGGCAGTTTGGTCTGCCAGTTGGTCTATTCGTGGTAACGGGAAGGGGTTCTTAGGACACGCCTTGTTGAGGTCAGTATAATCAACACATATTCTCCACGCTGGGGGCTTGGGTACTAGCACAACGTTTGCCACCCAATTGGGATAGGTGACTTCCCTGAGGTGACCGATCTCTAGTAGGGTGGAAACTTCTTTTCTTACGAATTCTCTTCAGTCTGCCGCTAGGTGCTTCTTCCGTTGCATGACTGGCTGGGTGCCCGGATTGACGGATAAGCGGTGGGTGATGACCGATAGGTCAATTCCAGGCATGTCTTCGGGTCCCCAAGCGAATAGGATTTTGTACTATTTTCAGTGTTTATAAGCTGCCAGGCGGACGTTTTTTGTTAACCCTTTGCCTATCTTGATCGTTCTATTTAGTCTGGAGTCCTCCAAAGCTACTTCTTCTAACTCGGTTACGGGTTCCGGCCTTTCCTTAGTCTCCTCTCCTTTGGTTTTCTCGGTGATAGTCTGGACTTGTAGGTCGCGTCTCCCGATCTGCCGGCAAGAGAGGATGTAGCATGACCGGGCCACATGGCGATCGCATTTAGCGATCCACACTCCTTCGGGTGTTCGAAATTTTAAGCACAGATGCTCGAGTGACACCATGGCTCCCAGGTCCTCTAAACCCGAACATCCTAGAATTACGTTTGTGCGTGGAATTGATGTTACAACCACAAACTCCATGTCTAGGGATCGGACCCTTGGGCATTCTCCTATTTCCACGGGCAAGGTGAGGCACCCCCAGCCTCTACGCTATCTCTGGTGAACCCAGCAAGTGGCGTCCGCACAGGTGTAATGTTCTCTGGACAATCCCAGTTTGTTAAATTTCTCGAGGTACATGACATTGACACTATTGCCAGTGTCTACAAATACTCTCCGGACGATGGTCCGTTGATGTCCACGGTGATGACGAGGGCATCGCGGTATGGTGTTGGGCCGTTCGGGAGGTCTTCATCAGAGAAGGTGATGATGTCCTCTGGCCTTTCTTGATGGGGGGTCTATGTTGCACTGCGCCTACACATAATTGTCTAGCCCAACGTTTCCTTTCGCGAGAGTTGTCTCCTACCGCAGGCCCACCACAAATCATTGTGGATCACACGCTTGTGTTTCCAGTTTCGGTCGTCTTGCTCTTCTGGATGCCCCTCGTCTTGGTTGGGTGCTTTCTGTTGGGGCCTATCCTTAAGTTCGATGGGAGGGTCCGGGCTGGTGCCCATGGAAGTTTTTCGCCATTGGTTGGGCGAGCAGTTGATTGTCTTTTCTGGATGAGCTCCTCGATTTTCTTTTTGTAGGGTAGTACATTCTTCGGTAGAATGTCCGCGTGGACCTGTGATATCGGAAATATCTGGCTCTTCCGCGGTTGGTTGTTCCTCCGCCTTTGTGGGTGGTGGTGGTAGGTTCTCTATAGGTCGTGGTGGTTGGACTTCGTGCACGTGCATCGCCCCGAGGGCGGGGACTACTCTGTGTCAAGGGGGAGGCTGCCCCCGAATGACGTTAGATCTCTCCTCTCGTTTAGATGGTCGGTCTAACGGACGCGTTCTCGTCTCGTCACGGGGTTGTTTCGCTTCTCGCCTTATTTTTTGTCGCAAAGCCTCTTCTGTTTCCGCGTATTTGTTGGCCCTCTGGATGGCATGTGCATACGTGTCGGGGGTCTCCCTTCGCAGGCTAGTGAACAGATCCCCTGACCGGACATGAATAAAGTGAGGGTCGTTCGGTCATTCAGATCTTCCACAGCCTGTACTTCCTTCTGCCATCTTTTTAAGAACTCTTTTAGTGTCTCAATTTCTCCTTGTTGTATGGCAGTCAGGGTCATGAAGTGTTTCTTTGTCTTCATGCTTCCCGCAAAGTAGGTTAGGAATTGTTCGGCTAGGGTTTCGAATCGGTCGATGGACCCTGGTAGTAGAGATAGGAACCAACGTTGCGCTTCTACCCCGCCCAGAGTTGAGGAAAAGACACGACAGTACATGGGGTCTTCCGCCCTATTACCATCATCTTTGGCTGGAAGCTGACTAAGTGATCGCTGGGGTCCCCGTTCCATCGTAAGTAGGCATTGTCGGATACTTGAAGTCTCTTGGCGCGCGATATTCCTGGATTTTCATAGAGAATGGACTGGCAGACAATAGAGATCGAGCGGTTGGTCGATATCCCTACCCCCGACCTTCCTTTGGAGGTCTCTCACCTCCCTTGAGAGTTCTGCCATCTCTCGATCTCGGTTCCCCCGACCAAGTTCTGGAGTCTCTTCGCTACCCTCTACTACGTCTTGCATAATTCTTCTTCCGGTCGGGATCTCCTTCCCTTGCTCCTCCCATGTGAGAACCGGTTGCCTGGATGACCTCCACCCGTCATTGGGGATTGAGCCTGGACTCTTTGTTGTGGGCTTTCTACCGAGGGGTTTTCGAGTTCAAGTTGTGGAGCGGTTGTCTGTTGATTCAGGGGCCCTATGCGATCAAGGACAGAGACTGCACGACGGGGGTCCCTAGGGTGGAGGCCGATCTCTGTGTTCTTTCAGGCGGTAAGTTTGTATTGGGCAGTCGGTCGCCGACGATCTGGGTGGTGTTGTTTATCCGGGAGGGTTTTGGGATCCTGCCCTTGCGGCCTGGCCATGATGTAGGGCCCCTAAGTAGCGGTGCGGCGGCTCTACTATCTCGGGGGTGAGTTCCACTGCTGGGTCTGTGGGACACCAATGGCCCGTGGGCGTGCGTTCGAGCGGACCTCGTCCTCTTCTCGGGGACCTCCCCGTTCAGCCTCCCTCTCCAGGGGAATATGTTGATTGTTCGGTACTTGCGAGGTGGGGCGGCTGAGGGATTCTCTCAAATCTTTGACTAGTCTAGCGACTGGTTGGTCAGTTCGAGTATTTCGTCGTATAGTTACCATGTTTTCAGGGTTTGATGAACGAACGATAACTTTTTGTATCGATCCCACAGACGGCGCAATGTTGTGTTTATGACTTTTGGGCAGTCAACGGCAGACCAACACTACCTTTTAGAATAAAGAGAATATAGGAGAAATATATGGAGAGAATATATGAACTTTGTATTAATGAATATTGCTTAGCTTGCGAATATTTGGAAGTTGTCCCCTCTCCTCTATGTGAGAGGTCTATTTATACATATTTTGGGCTTAGAACCCTACAATGAATACGAATTCTAGATTGACTCATATCGGGAGTCTTACTTAAATAATGAGACCTAATTCTATTATACTAGAAATAATGAGTCCAATTCTAATTATATTGGAATTAACATGCCCAATCCTTTGACAAACTCTTGGATTGCTCTGTATCGTGTATCGTATATCATTCTTGGACTTCTTCGATCCAATTTCTTTTATGGGCCGACCCATGTGGCCCAGGCCTAGTATATTATCCATCAGCGACGTTTTCTAGAGCGTCCGTTAAAATTTTCGTTAGCAAATGAAATATTTCTTGTAGTGGCTATTTCAACCTCTTGATACATTAATAATATATATATATTATATATATATTATATATATATATATATATATATATATATATATATATATATATATATATATATATTGATGGGGATATGGGACCCTAGGGGTCCATTTTATTGGGAAAGTATTGACCCAAGTGGGGGTGGTGAAAGAAGGAGGTTGGACCAAGTCTTGTTGGGCTAGGAAGACAAGCACGCATGGTGGGCCAGGGTGAAGAACATGGACCGGAAGGCGGGAGGAAGTAGGTGCGGGAGGTAGGTACGACGTGAGGGGGGAGGTAGGGGGGAGGTAGGTACGATATGAGGGGGGGAGGTAGGTACCGCGTGAGGGGGGGAGGTAGGTACGGCGTGAGGGGGGAGGTAGTACGGCATGAGGGGGTAGGTACGGCGTGAGGGGGTAGGTAGGTACGATATGAGGGGGGGAGGTAGGTACGGCGTGAGGGGGGGGAGGTAGGTACGGCGTGAGGGGGAGGTAGGTACGGCATGAGGGGGGTAGGTACGGCGTGAGGGGTAGGTAGGTACGATATGAGGGGGGAGGTAGGTACGGCGTGAGGGGGGAGGTAGGTACGGCATGAGGGGGGTAGGTACGGCGTGAGGGGGTAGGTAGGTACGATATGAGGGGGGAGGTAGGTACGACGTGAGCGGTGGAGGTAGGTACGGCGTGAGGGGGAGGTAGGTACGGCATGAGGGGGGGTAAGTACGGCGTGAGGGGGTAGGTAGTACGGCTGAGGGGGGAGGTAGGTGCGGCGTGCATGATGGAGGATGCGGGAGTCGCGGGGATAGTGGCGACGTGACATGCATGGCGACAAACAAGCGGAGTGGGGGAGGAGCAACGTGGGACCGCGGACGCCAGAGGAGGAGGGGGGCTTGCTATAAATAGGGGCCTGGATCTTTGGCTAAGGGGCAACTTAGACACGATAAGCACTACAGTCTAGTGGTTTTGGTCTTGTACTCTCAATCCAGTCACCTGGGTTCGATTCCTACCAGTAGCATAGTTCGCTATAGCCCATCCTGTGGGCCTTGTTCTTTGTAATTCGGCCTGCCATTCTGGGCCTGTACCTCGGGCTTTTTGTACGCATTGTTCTGGGCTAGCGCCCTACCCCCCCCCCCCGTCCTATGTTCCTATACCCGGTTTATGGTGGACCCGTCCCATATATATATATATATATATATATATATATATATATATGCATTACACACAGTCACACACTTTTCTAAAATTTATATTTTTGTTAAAAATAATATTTTAATTATTAATCTCAAAATCTAAAATTAACATGATTTTCTACTAAACTAAAATTTATAAATGACGTCAAATACATTTAAACATGTAGTCTTGTACTATTAAAAGTTTATATAAGACTTAATATTATTTGATAACTTATAAATATTATAAAATGTAGTATAGTTTATAAAGTTAATTTGATTTTTACTCACTAAATTATGTTAGAGTGATAAATTAAAAATTTATAAAAGACGTTTAAATTGAGTTTTCTTTTAAATTTATGACGAATTGTTGTGAGTAGAAGTACGAGAGTGTAGGATGAGAATTTTTGTGTGATAAAAATAAAGAGTAAATACCACCTATGGTCCCTCGAGTTTGGTGGCATCGCATCAATGGTCCCTAACTTCCGTAATTACATCCGTCATCCTCCGAGTTGTGAAAAGTTACCTTCTAGCGTCCTTCCGTTACTTCCTCCGTCTCAGCCGTCAAAATGGAGGATAATATTGTCATTTGACTTATACAAAAAGAGTTAATACCAGCCAAGGTCCCTCAAGTTTGGTGGTTTGGCCATCTTTAGTCCCAAGTTTAGTAATTAAATTTTTAAAAACTATACAACGTCGGCTTTACCTTAAAAGCCGACGTCGTATGTTATTATTATTATTATTATTATTATTATTATTATTATTATTATTATTATTATTATATTATTATTATTATTATTATTTATTATTTTATATTTGTTTTATGGTTTCTACCCCAACCCGTATCAATTTTCAGATCCTGCGCAGCTACCAATTTAACATTCAACATCAACTAATTAATAAAACTAATTCACAAACTATTAAACATGAAACTAATATAAAGAACACAATTCATTAAGCTAATTCAAGCTACTAAACATAAAACTAATATAAGTAACACAATTCAACAAACTACTAAACATAAAAGCCAATAAACATAAACTAATTTTAAACGTAAAGTATCAACTAAGAAGCGTTTTATTAACCCATTCATCAATAAGAAACTTAGACCATTTGTTCTAACTTCATCAATCTCTTGTTTGTTGTAAGGCAATCTTCAAACCATTTTCTATAACATTAATTAATATCTAAACAACTCTATTAAATATGTTGGACTAATTTTATTACTGCTAAAAAATATGTTTTGAAATTTAGAAATCATTTTGTCTATTTCTTATTATTTTATTTATTTTAATGTTTTAGAAACATATACACACAACAATTCATAATTTACCCAATAACTTATAAAATTTAAATATATACACGATTATTCCTAAAATTTAAAATATACAC